GACCATTCGCATGTCGGGCAACGTGGCCAGCTGGCCGGCCGGCCGCCGCCTAAACGTCTAGAGAGACGTTTAAGGCTGCACCCACTCGCTCGCAGACATTCGATTTTCCAGTTCGGTCAGCTCCGCTTTAACAGCCCTTCGGGAGATCTCGCAAGAAGCTTCGACAAAAAGCTCGGCACGTTTTCGCTCGTTCGGATCGAGCAAAAAGTACAGCTAAAACGAAAAGTTCTCATTATTTTTGTTATGCTTTCGCATCGCCGCCGGTTTTTTTTTTTTCTACCAGCTATCCGTGCCCGTCCCAAGCATAGCAGGATGGATAATTATCGGGAAAACCTTGGTTCCGCTGATGCAGGGTAGGAGACGCGTGCAATTCCCCGCAGTTCGCGCCGGAGAGAGAAAAATAGAGAGGGGGGGGGGGGGGAGGAAACACCGAAGGACTCACNAGGACTCACTCGTCTCCGGCGAGGGGATCGGAGGAAGCTTCGATTCGGTTCTCGTCGACGTGATATCGATCGGCATCCTCGCGCGGCATACATTTTTCGTGGAGGCGGCCTCGTTAAAAGGCTTTTTAGTTGAGTGGAAACGACCACGAAGAGGGAACGAGGACGGCACGAGCGACCCCATGGATACGAGGACTCGGTGGCGTCCTGGGAGATACCACCCTCGTAACGACAATCGCACAATACCGGCGATAGGCACGCGCAAAACAGTATACGAGGTACGACGGCCACGCGGGAAGCTTTTTATTGACCTTTTCAGCACGCCGAGCGTTCGCCGTGTAGTAGTGTCTCTCTTTCTCTCTCTCTCTCTCGGTCAACGGCCGGGAATAACAAAGTCCGAGAGCGTTAGTATTCTTATGCGGCATCTTCGTGCAGGAAATCGTAACGTGAAATTTTGATGCGGAAATTTCCGCTTATTAATATGTAATTAAACTACAGTGAGTAAACCAATCTTCGTTATTTATCGTAATTATAAAGCTCTTTTATACGATCTAATATTTGCCTTCTCTATTAGAGACGAGTACAAATTATTACACTAGATAGTAAAAAATATTAAAAATTATATTTTCTATTCAAATATATATATATATTTCTTTTTTCTTTTAATATTTTGTATTTTGTATGCCTTACGCTGATTTAATAAAGAACAAACGTTATTAATTTAATTATTGAAAAATTATTGAAACCCACGTAAGACTTACAATCAATAAATAATTTGAAAAATAGTCGATTTGTGTAAATCGAAATTGAAAGCGTTGCAATAAAGACAGCAGAATTTTAACGTCGCCGAATTGCCCAGCGGGAGAATTAACAAGAACGGACAGGGTGTTGGTTTTAGGACCATGTTGCAGATCGGAGATACATTGTGGGATAAGGTTCCGACGACTTGTCGACGTGTAGTGTGACTTCGTAAGCGTCGTGTAACCGCCGCCGGTAACATCGACATTGACAAAGCTATCTCCCTTAAATGGCGCACGGTGGCTGCGCGCGCACACATTGTAATTGCATTAGAATTTTAATTACGTAATGTAGTCCAATACAAGTGATACGTCGTTAAATTCCGCGCCACCGTCGAGCGTAATCGTGATATCACTACGGTAATCGCCGCGCGGCGTTATAACATTACAGCATTGCGCAAGTAATTAGCGGTCAACGTATCGAAAATTGGAATATCCTATCCGCGACGGTTAATTTTCAACAGAGACGATAATTGAGATTAATAAATCATCGAATAACGCATCTCGGGAACGCGAGGTTTCCACGCGTAACGAATAATTTAAATTAGGAATAGATTGGATCAAGTAACGTCAAGCGATTTAATTAGATCGTTAAACGCATTTATTTGCGCAACTGCGGAACCGGGGCGGCGTTATCATGCGCGAATCGCGTGAATTATCGCGAGAGGAGAATAATTTTTCACTTCAAACGCGATTTATCCCGACACTGTGCGTCGTGATACGCAGGGACAAATAACTTAATGAAAAAAAAAAAAAAAAAGAGAGAACACAAAACGCGCAAAGGGGTTAATTAAACCACGTTACATGTTGCGTGGGAAGCCAAACGTCCTTTATATCAGCGTGCAAATAACATTTTAGCGGGCGTTGCAGGCGAACAATAGTAAAAAAAAAGTATCGAAAAACATTAATGAAATCACGGGTAACGAAAGGGGTACAATCACGAGAGCTATTATATAAACGAGAAAAAAGAGGCAAGCGGGAAAAACAGATTTCAAAAAGTTGAAAATTGCCACACGTCACACAGCGGTAATTCATGAGAAAGATGAGAACGAACCACAAATGTTTAACGCGCTACTGTCTATGTAGGAATCGTGTACGTTCGACCAGTACCGGAGATTGGCGAGGTACAAAGGTATAAACATGTCCTTTTTGAAATTTGCCCGACTGGAGCATCGATACACATTCGGTACGCATAAGGATTTACAGTTACAGGATGTTTATATCAGATAAATATTTATGCTAACTGATAGATAGAAATGTCACTTTGAAATGTTTTATCATTTCCGCGCGTACTTTCACTGCGTAAAAATATTGATAATCCTGCGCAAATAATACGACGTAAACTTCACAGAGAAAATAAGTATTTTATCGGTAAAGTTATTAGATACGGCATCCCCTTAAATCAGGGGCTGTGCTGTGGATTTTAAGATCACATCTGCATGAATAATTTGCATATAGTCTAAGTGATGTTTACATGGCATTTTTCACGTAGATAATGTAAACTATGTAAAATATCATAAATTACAGCACAGTGTAAAGAGAAAGGATAAACAGTCTAAATTAATTTAAACTATGAAATAGTTCAATTATTCGATTTTAACGTTAATTATAAGGATATTTAATATTAAAAATTAAAAATCTTATATATCTACAGATAACACGGGAATGTTATATCATTGAAATTCTTATGTGGATTTTTCGAACGGGAAAAATTCAGGAAAAGTTTGGGCCCTTCCTTCCACAGTATGGTTACGGCACTAACAATTCTACAATAATAAAAATCATTGCTGAAAATCGCTATTGCTCCAATATTACGAATCGATAATTTCTGGTACCTTGGCAATATCGAAAATCGATACAGATACAGTACAGTCTTTCGTGTCTTTGTTCACTGCTATTTTAGTACTCCGTCAATATCAGATCAGTATTGGCATGAAATACTATAAACTAAAAATCGATACTAACAGCCAGTACCTCGCCGGCAGTTATTTCCTACTTGTACTGAATACGTTTCTCTCTCTCTCTCTCTCTCTCAACCGTAGTCGTCGTCGACCCCTCAAACGCGGTATAATTATCTCGTCCGCGGAAGGGCTGAAAGAATACACGGTATATCGGCAACGGGTGCGTGCTGTTTCGCCCGGCAGACAGGCAGGGTTGCAGACGGCGCCGGTCGGACACTCCACGCGGCCGGAATGGAACGACGATAGGCCCGGTCGATAGGTCACGGTACGAAGGTGAAGTGTGTGTAAACATAATTTCGGTAGTGCTCCGGTGGGAAGCTTTCATATACAGGCGACGGGCGAAGGTGTAAAACGAACGTCGTCTCGGACCGGGATTGGCTGGCTCGGCGGGGTCGATAATTGCTTTTAAATCCTGCGAACGTCAAATATTCGCCGATGTCATCATCGTCGCGTAGCGTCGCGACGCGACGCCGCATTTAGCCCGCCGAGGAATACGGCCTCGCGCGTCCGTAAAGCCGGAGTGAAAAGCCGCCGGAGATTTGGGAAGATGCGCGTTAAGTTATACACGCCGGAGAGCGTTAAGTTATGTCCGAATGAAACGTCTCTCTCTCTCTCTCTCTCTCAGCCCGTCGTCTCTCGGGAAGATTAATGAACGACTCACGCGCTTATGTACACATAATGGACGACTGTTTTCGGAAACGCCGTCGTTTTTCCCCGTCCCTCGCAAGTGTCTCCCGCAAGTCACTCGAGAGATCGTCACGGTGGACCGCAAATTTAATTCTCCCGGGGATCGACGATGAATCTTGCTTAATCCGTAATTGCGACGTTCACCGCGTCGCGAGCCCCGACAGAGAGGATGAAACTTTCAAGGGTATACGGCGTCTAATGTAATTTATACGGACGATAACTTCGAATTGCCGCGATATGCCTGCGCTCCGTCTAATTTAAAAGAGCGGTTAATTGAAATACCGCTGCTTGCGCGCACCACTCGACGTATTCAGAATCTTCAGTCAACGCGTCTTTAGTACGTGCGAGCGAAAAGTTAGGTAGAAACGCTAAATTAAACGTAGCTGTAGACATTCTCTGCTGAACGCAACAATTCATATCCCGAACACAGGAGGAAACCTCCTTTTCCGCGATGCTAATTGGCTGTGTACCGCGGCTGTCATCGACAGAACAAAGTGGCATGTTCCCTGCCACGTGCACTATTTCCGATGCACGTTGAATTCGACCTCTACGCCATCCGATACTTTCGCTGTTATCAAGGGACAAAGTCCGGTAAAATAGAAGAAACAAATAAAAACCATAAACGAAATAATTACACCATTTGTCGAGCTCTCCGTGCCACAACGTGCGCCATTTTCGGCGTGAATTGAAAGTCGCGCAAAAGCGCGGTCCAGCAGAGGACGTGTCGCCGAATATCAGATTAATGCCCGTTTCCACCATCATGGTTTAGACCTAATTGACTATTAACTCAACGGAACTGGCCAATCGCATTGATCGGTTCAGCCAATTAGCCGATGCGATTGATTAATTCAGTTGAGTCAATCGTCCATTCGATTTGAAGCATGACAGCAGAAACAGGCAAAAGAGGTTAATAAATTGGCTGGCATTTTTAATGTCACTATAGTTAACAGCGCGCGTTTAGCGTGTCCGTATATTTGTAAAGTATACAAACTTAAAGAGTTTCATATCCGTTTCCTCAACGTTACCGCTCGTACCTGAGAGAAATTCAACATCGACGCAGTAGTTGCTGTCAAAGTTTTCACCGGCGAATGAGAGGCAGGTAAGTTTCCACTGACCTTTGAGTTCCATATCCGTGACCTGGTTCGCCTTGTAAGCGGCCGTCTCAATGCGGTCGCCGACGATGAAGTAAATATTGGTGAACTCCTCGTCGTGGTCGTTGCTACCGGTTCCGTTCCTCGCCTCGTGGTCCATGGCCACGCGGATAGTCTCGGCCTTGAACCGCCTCCTGTCGCGCCTCCTCGTCGCTCGGCCTCGCTGCGGTTCCTGAGACGACCCGGCCTTGCTACTACGCGGGGCTGCCGGGGCACAGACGTGGAAAGACTTAGGCACGTATCCAGGAGGGATCGCCACTCACATTAACAATGCCCTTTTGTCTCCCTCTTCCACGCTCCTCCAGATCTCGTCGTGAGGCGCGCGAGGACGCGAAGGTGTTCGCGGCGCGCTTTCGCGCATTCCCGTGACGTGCTTTCGTTATTACCGCGCAAAACCGAAGGTCTGAGCGGGGGAGTCGAGGCGGTATCTGCGATGTCACGAGGTTGCTCGGCTCAAAGTTTGATTGATGATCGGCGTGAGTGTAGCTACGCTACGTACGGATCGCTCGGCTCTCGCTCGGATCAACTTCGTTAAAAATTCCTCTCGAACTAGGACAGCTCGTGTCGATAGAAAGTGACAACTTATCCGAGGATAACTCAACTTTCATAAGAATATGACGCGTCGCTCCCGCCCGCTTAACGTTTCAATTTAAGGAGCGTCCAACGAGACGGGATTACCGTCGTAGGACGGGCCGATTTTTCGGGAGGAGATGCCGATTACCGTCGGTTTAACGAGAATTCTTCCGTAGGTACCTGCTCGACGGTCGACGTTAGAATATTCAGATTTTGCCTGCGGTGTTATCGTGTTATCGTCGTAATCGAGTGCAAGCCCGTTTTCCTCTTCCACTTTTAATCAAACATAAGCTTCGCGCACTCGCGTTCGCGGAAAAAGGAATTGGCTGTAACGAAATTCAGTTACCGATTAAAACTTAGTTACCGGGTCTAACTTTCAGCTAGAAATTAAATATATTCATAGGAAAATTAGGGAAATTAATGAAATTTCAGTTGTATTATATGGACAGTTAATTTTGAACTGTGGGGACTACTTTTCTTCCATGTTACAAGATTATCCAATAATATTATACTTGAGAGAGATACTCGATTGATTCCAAAGACGAGGGGAAAATTTGACAAGTGGAAACTCGATGATTCGTCAAATCCAATTCGCCCCGAGCAACGTCGTACATTCGGGAGAAATGTTTCTCGTGGAAATTAAAACAGCAACGAATCGCGAGCAGATTAACACAGTCGCGGATTACACGCCGAACGAGGCGGCTTTAAAATTGAGAGAAAAATCGACGAGAAGCGAGCCGGCAAGTCGTCCGGAAAACGACGCGAATTGTCTCACCTTTGGTCGGGTGTGGAGGGGTAGCTGCACCCTCGGCGAGCTCATCGTCGCATCGCCGGCCCGGCGGCAGAGACCGGGCCACCCCCGATTATCGCACCTGTCGAGCTCGTACCTGCCGCTCGCGACACCTGCCGGCTTCGGGATTGGACGTGACACCGGGAACGCGTCGACGAAGACCAGCGACGTGGTGTAAGCGTGCCCGACCGCTCGTCTGCTACCAGCCGGCACCGCGTTTCCTCATGGTCCATTCTGCGACAGAAAAAAGACGCCAGAAGCGTGAACATTCGTACATTGTTCTCAATAAATTCTCAATTAAATAAAAGTTAAAAATTAATAGCTTATAAAATTAATTGAAGTTAAAAGTTAATTATATAAAGCCGTGCTCAAGTATATATGCCTTTTACGTAATTAACTTTTTAATTGTAGGTTAAATTTACTTTAAATAAAGAAAAGATAATCTATTATAAGAAAATATCGGCTAGCGAGAAACTGAAAATACCGATTTTGACTCGGGATCCCATATGAGAAAAGAACACCGGCTCTCAAAGTAAGAAAAAATTCTGTCAGAATTATTTTTAAGTCTTCTCACTTCGTATTGTAAGTAACTCGCAATGATTTTAATATCGATGAATTACTTTATCTTATATATATAAAAAAGTTAATAAATTAAAGTTGATGCACTTTAAATTAACTGGTTTGAGTTAAAAGTCAATTCATTTGTAATTAACTAAGTTCGATTAAAAGTTATTAACCTTTTTAACTTAACTTTTAACTGAGTAAAAAAGTTATTACCCAACCTTGTGATAAATATAAGATCCCCACGAGTAAGACCAGCGAAGTGATAACAAGACGATCATTAGTGAACAGAAATTTGACTGCACGCTCCGTCTCTTCCTTTTCGCGTTTATACATTTGACTCGCGTTGAATTAGTAAACATACTGAGACAGACCAGAGTTTAACTCATGTGAGGTCTAATTAGAATTGTACGAAGGATAAGCACTGTATCTCTCTCTCTCTCTCTCTCTCGCGAGTCGGAAATTAGGATTGCGCTTTGGAGTGCCTCGGTAGTTACGACGACGTAGAGAGTGTCGGAGATAAGGATGAAGGTAGAATAGAGCTCGACGAAATTGAGGATAAACGAGCCCACTGCCGGAACGGTGATGCGCATCTGCTAAGGTACGAAAATACTTAACGCTTTTGACACGGAGAAGCGAAAGTGCTCTGATTACAGGGTACGCCACGGACTTTCCCCGGCGACGGTATGCAAAGTGCGGGTTTGCGCTGCCGCCGTTATCGCGCCAGGATCTCGGAAATTTGCGTAGTTATGCGCGAGAGTGAAAAGCGCTCATCGTGGGAAATAACGGCGAAATTCGATGAAATATTAAAAATCGCACGCGCACGCTGAGAATCGGACGTTCAAACGATCGCCCACATTCAAAATCCCCCTGCCTTTATTCTTCCAGTGAAACCGAATATCGGCAGATCGAAAGGAAGAGGAGGACGTACGTAAAATTTCCACCGAAAAGATGTCGACTTCGCGCGAGAGTGTTCTTTTTAATCTAGGAATAAGAGAGCCCGGAATTCTGGTCTCGTGAATTAAAATCACCTCCGCATAGAAAATTTCTTGAGATCTAATTGGAATCCAGTCCAGCTTCTTAAAATAATTATGAATTCTGGTTGGGAAATCTATGCAGATCCTGGTTAAAAATATAATGTTTCAGGTATACGATTTTAAACGAAAAATATAAACAGACTCCATATGATCAATGTCTCCCAACAATGTCTCTCCAAAAATTTTCTGGTTTTCATTTTACACTACGATCGAAAGAAATATGAACACTTTAAGTGTTTACACTTTATAAATATACGCGCGTGTCATTAAGAACAGCAATTTTTTTAATGTAATCTTTTTCATTAACCTTTTATTTTATTAAATAGCGCGTTATATTACAATCCTGCTCTTATAATTATAATATATTATAAGGCAAATAACATATCCGCACATCCTCGACGCTCACCGCAATTCATATAGTTCATCCTCTTATGTAAACTTTGCGCATTCTTTTATAAAAAAAAAAAAAAAAGATGAGAAGAAAATATCCCCGTAAACATCTCGAAAATCCTCAGCTCTCACGCGACTGTTTTCAGTCTTTTCAGTTTGGCGATACCATCGGATTTCCCTTCCTGGGAAAATCTCCCACCAGCTTCAATCCAACTTCAAAAAGAGCGCTCTCACGTGCCGAGAGTAGCGGTGGGTGAAAGTGCGAGACCCCCGGCACGAAAATATGTGACTTTTTCACGAACAACGCGAAATAGTGCCGGCGACAAATGATTGGCCGTGTGTTTGCAAAGAAAAGCGCCGCGAAAGTGGAAGAAACTTTTGTCTCTCTCTCGAGAGAGAGAGAGAGAGAAAGAATCGTCGTCGTCCGTCCGTCTGTTTCTTCTCATTGAACTACACACGGCCACACCCAGGTAGAGACGAGTGGGCGTGAAAAATTTACGATTTCTTTGCCCAAGGTCGCCGGTGGAAATTAGAAGCAGAGATATAGCCGGTGCCGCCCCCGCACTTACCACCCCGAACGACGTCAGACGTCGCCTCGCGAAGACGTACGATCGGCGTCGTAAATTTATGACGTCTTCGTGAATTTGCCGTGAGCACCGCCGTCGTCTTTTATTCGCGCACGCACATTGCGACAGGGATATTAAAAGTGACGGTTGATTACGTCAAACCGGGCCAGGCGTCGACCTTCCCATATTAAACATGCGCAGCTCGATCGACAGATTCGTATGAAATTTCGGGAGCGGGCGCTTCTTCGAGAGCATGCTCCGAGGCTTTCCTTGCCGACGACACGAGCTTCCATTTCGAGGCCGTAACTGCGATTGGCAATGCTTCGCCAACTCGAAGAAGCTCCGGATACCTTAGGGTATTTGTAATTACGAGTGAAGCCCTGCAAGCGTCTCGCGATAAATGAAATTATACCTCTCTCTCTCTCCTGTAATTTGATATCAGAGACTAATTTGATATTAAACACAACACCTTAAATTGAGGCGCATTACCGCACGGGCACGGGTACTCCGGTACATTACAATTCATCTTCCCCGCCGCCGTCGGTGCCCGTCGGCGGTGTTCGTGTGTGTTACGAACTATGACGACTACATCTGATTAGATGAAATTAGAGAGACGGAGACGGCAAATGTTTATAGTCGGAGGGAGATACGCCTGCGAGGTAGATACTGTGCGGCGCGCGGCGGTGTTTGAGTCGCACGGAAACGCACCCCGGTGTTTAACCGCGAGCTATCGGCTGGCTGACTTTACAGCCGGCTTCCACCCTTAAGTGTCCCGGGGGTAAGCGAATAAAAAGGCGCGGAACGGTTGAGAAGGAGTGATCATATCTCGACGAAGCAGCTATTAAATTGTTGCAAATGAAATGGCCGTTTTTCACAGGTCAAATCTCCCGGCTTAGTTCAGCGTTTCTTACGCACGCTGTCGTTGCGTGCGTGATACTTGAATAGTGTACGCCTGACGACGCGTGCAAACTGTAAAAAAGTTTGCCGAATACAAATGCGAAGTTCCCCCTCACACTCTCCTCATTCTCCTGACTTTTCTCCAACGGATTGTCATTTTTGTTCGAGCACCCGATTTTTTCAAGTGAGAAAATATTCCGAACAGAAAGTGAAATGTGCGACGCGAATTTCTCGCATCTCGCTCTTCCAACTTCCAGCGTGAGAGGCATTGGTGCGCTTGTATCACGTTGGGGAAAGTGTATCGAGGCGGATGAGGACTATTTCGATCGACAAGATGTATATAAAGTCTATCGGATAAAAGTTTAAATACAAAATTCAAGGCCATTTCACCTGCAACAATCTAATACGACGCGTAATATCCGCGCCGGATTCTTGCGAACTCCAGCGGGCAAATCTCCGCATCGCAGCAAAGAGAGAAAGAGCCGAGTCGACGGGGAAGATCGCTAATTGAATTAACGTCAAGCACACTTTTTGCCTCGGAATGATCGCGAAGAACAGACTCGTGACGGCAACGGCGACGTATAGCTAATTTGGCCGTTTGTTAATCGCCGCGGTCGCGGTAATAATTGATGACTTCTGCCTCGGGAGCGCTAAAGGTTTTATTTTGCTAATGAAGCGGCTTATTTAATAATTAAACGCGCATATACAGGGTGAATCACGCAACGTGATCAGCTTGGTTTATTCTGCTGTTAGTGGACCGCCTGACAATTTTTCTGTCTAGTGTAACATGGTTTACGGCAAGTTTCGAAATAATCTTAAATATTCTCCCCTTCGTAAGGAAATAATTTTACCGCGGAAGCATAAAAATGGCACTTGAAATACGTAAAATATGTAAAATATGCGGATTAATAAATCTACAGTTCATCCGATTTTCCTATCTTATACCTTCATGAGATTGTATCAGTGGAAATTTACGCATCCGTGGAGATCCGTGCATTTAATAATTTATAATCTTCATAGCCGTCCCGTGCTGTGGACTTTTTTTACATAAAAAAACAGTAGCACACGGAAAGACCAGATTTGACTTCGTCTGTTTACGCGTCAAGTTTCAATACGCAACAAATACGACTCTGCACGATCGCATTCGGTCCGTTTGAAATCCCATCGTGTGTTAACATCGCACCGTTCCTCTCTCTCTTTCTTCATAAGGTAATTCTTTTTAAGCCGGTAGAATCCAGCTTGAATAAAAGCTCTCGTCGCTGACGACACCGCGCCTCGTAACGTATAAAAGCTGAATAAAATCTGTCCGGGTGAGATCGGTCGTGACGCGACGGCAGTCATGACGATAATTGGATTGCACTAGTCAGTTTCATACCTGATAACGTAGCAAGACGCGGGACATAATCGAATGAGGTGTACCGGATATGCATTGACGGCGAGGTCGAGGTCGGGGGAGAGACGCGAACACGGCGAAGAGCCGTAAACCAATCAGTGTCCGCGATACAAATGCCGGAAACACATCAGCCGCCGATCGTAAAAAGGATTTTTCGCGCGACTCGCAATAAGAAAGAAAGAGAAAGAGACGATGGTCGTTTCGTCAATAATTTATTGCATCGGGAAAGAACTTCAAAATCCACACCGTGCGACCCAAGAGAGAGAGAGAGAGAGAAAGAAGAAGGAAATTTCATTACGAATAACACGCTCGTGCCGTGTTCCTCGTGCCTCTAACGAGGAATTGTCGCGTCCGTGAATAGTTCGCAGATTTGTACGGAAGTACGCCCGA